CACATTAAACTGTTTGGAATCACTGTAGACTCCGCCTGGCGCGCTTGTTTGTTCTAGAACCAGACCAGGTAGCAGACCAAAGAGGGGATGGTTACCAGAAACACCTGTGCAGAGTCAATTTAGCACTTTGGAAATGACGTGATAACCCTGAGCACGTGGGAGATGCATCGCTGCCTTTGAAAACTGGCCGGGGTGACAGGGCTGTGGAAGGTGGGCCTCGCCGCAGTCACAACCAGCCCGACATGCTGGGGAGACTTCAGGCCCCCGCTGCCTCCTCCTGGCGCCTCAGCCCGTCCGCGTCCCTGCGCCCACCCGCACCCACCAGCCTGGGGGCTTCTGCTCCTCCCAGATCCGGCCCTGGGTGAGGAGGCCGGTCTGCACACAGGTGCTGCCTCCCCTCACGGCGTCAGGGGACGCCTCGCCTCGGTGGTAGCATGTATCAGAATTTGCTTCTGGATCATGTTCCATTTTGCGGCGACACCACGTTGGTTCATCCACTCCTCTGCTGATGGACACCCGCGGCCCCCCCTGCTGACCCGGTGAGTGACGGTGCTGCGGGTGTCCCGGCTGGCGGCGCCGCAGGCAGCTGCTGGGAGTGGAGTTGCTGGGTTATAGGGTCGCTCCGTGTTGAGAAGCTGCCAAACTACTCTGTGCAATGATAGCTCCTTTTTACATCTGGCCAGCAAGTCTTGGGGTACCCCCCTCCCCAACAGCACTCTCTGCGATTCCATGGCCAGAGTTCTCAGCCTCAGGACTGCCAGGCTCCTGCCCTCCAGCCTGGCTCCTCAGCTGTTCCCTCAGCTCCGGCCCCTCTGCTCCAGCCGCACCACCTGCTCTGGGGGGATGCAGCCATTTGCTCCCCCTGCGCAGCACCCACACCGCCTGAGAAGGAAGGCCCCACACCCTGCCCCGTGTGCAGGGCCGCCTTGCCCATCCGCTGCCTCTGTAGTGGTCAGAAACCTCACCACTGTCTCATGGGACCCTCTGCTCCCCAGAGAAATCCAGGCACTTCCAGCTCCCTCAACCCCCTCCTCCCACAAACCTGTCTGCCTCAGTGTCTTTCTCCTTCAGCCTCTGAGCAGCCAGGTCCCTGCATCCACCTCACCTTGTTCACTCTCCAGAGAGCTTTCCCTCCAAATCACACCTTCTTAAGATTTATTTACTTACGCGTACAAGAACAGGGGTGTAGGCCTGAGGTGTGGGGGTGAGGGCATTCCCCAGAGACAGCGGGGAGAGAACAGGCAGACTGACTGAAACGCACTGCTGAGGCGAGCAGCGGGGAGACAGGAGAGGTCTGCTGTGGGGCATCTCCCTGGTGGCTGCGGAGAGCTTCATCGTGCTGACGCTTAACCCCTTGCGCCACCAGGGAGGCCCTGCCCCTTCTTCTTTTGGAATTTCATGCCTCTCTCTCTTGCCTGTATCCTTCAAGGACCAGCCGAGTCCTCTGGGCAAGCCTGCCCGATGCCCCTGGCGAGGTGGGTGTCCTTGTCCGGATTCCCAGCCGCTGCACAGGTCTCATGCCGCTGCTGCCCACAGCGCGTGCGCCTTCCAGCAAAGCCAGGGCCTCGTGCAGGGGAGGCTGTGCCTTTCACCTGTCTCCAGGGCACCTTGCGCAAGGTCAGGCCCGGGGCGGGTGGCCAGGAGATATTTGGCTACGTGGACACTATTCAGCTACTTTAATTGCCCAGTCTACCCAGTGCCCCCCGTGGAGGCTGTGGCTCCCAGAATCCAGGTGACACCAAGCAAGCCCTGGATGCAGCCCACACCTGGGCTGGGGTTCAGGTCAGCTCAGCCCAAATTCCAATGACAGAAGAATCCACACAAAGGATTTAGGAAGAATTTCAGTCTTTTTTTCAATCAGAAATGCACTGCCAGGGGTGACCCCCTGGAAGGAGAAGCAGCAGCGTGCTGGTGGGGTTGCAGCTTCCAAACCCCCACACCACGACGCTCTGGAAGTGACGCAGGCCCGCAGTGAGAAGCCCACTCGCAGCGTCCACACCTTCCCGCAGGCGTGTTGGCTGCCGGGTGATGAACACCGTAAGTTGCTCGCTTGAAATACCGATGAACAGGAAGTGGAACTCTAGACTGTCCCGGGATGGACTTCCAGGCCCCTGCGGAGGGCCAGACCGCGAGATGGCACCGTCACTCCCTCGCTGGAGCCTCTGCCTGCTGGGGCGCCGGCCCCTGGGGGTGCTCCCGGCTGTGTTGCCCGCGGGAGTCACACCCACGCACCTGTTGCAAACAGCCAGTGTGCATTTTCCTGTGAGTGACTTGCCTGACGTGGCACCCTCCCCTGGAGCAGCTGGGCTGAGGCGGCTATTAAGTCAGCGTGACGCAGAGAGCGCACACTTCGCAGGCAGAGTGGCCTGTGACCTCTGGCGCACACTTCATCCTTCAGCAGGACCTGGGACCCTTCCCACCCTGCACACACGGGCCCTGCAAACTTCCTGGTAGCCATTTTTTCTCTCCGCAGGTTCCCTTACAATCTGGCAGTGCTGGAGGGTGGGAAAGACCCCCCACCTCTCAGTAACAACCCCCCATCCTGACTGCAGGGGAAGGGCAGCCGGGGAACTCTGCACAGCGAGCTGTCCCCGGGCCAGTGTAGAGGCTCCTTTCCACACACTCATCTAGGGAAAGTGAGGCGTCCCCTCACAGCCCCCAACGCTGAATTGGGAAAGTGAGGGCATTCAGGTGCCCTTGGAAAGACACCTCTTGACATTGCGTTTTAAGTCTTTTTATGTTGTTGTTTTTTTTTTTAATGCAAGATTTTGGGCCTCCCAGGTGGTGCAGCGGTTGAGCGCTGGGTTGTGAAGCAGCCTCTGCAGCGCTGGTTCGATCCCCGGCTGCTCCCCGGCCACCGGAGGAGGGTCCCACGTGGCGCACAGACCTCTCCTGCCGCCCGCTGCTCCCCTCAGCAGTGTACTTCGGTCCTTCTGCCTGTTCTGTTCCCTGCCCTGTCTCTGGTGAGTCCTCTCACCCTCCCGCGCATCTGGCCTGTACCCCAGCACTTGTATAAATAAAAAATAAATCTTAAAAAAAAAAAGAAAAAAAAATGTGCGACATTGATTTAACATCTGGACAGAGAAATAAAGAAACTGATGTCAGGAGCTGAAAACATAATGCCAAGTCACACCTCGGCGAAACATCAGTGAGTGCACGATAGCCGGAAAACAGACCACAGCCCTATTAATTCCACAGATCTGAGAGATGCGGTGGGAAAAAAATTAGAATGCTCGCTTGTCTTGACTAATGTTAGCTTCCTTCAGCAAGGTTTTAGAAGAAAGAATTGAGCTTAAGAAAGGAGGGGTGCGTTTGCAAACAAATAAAAGAGAGTTCAAAATGCACAAGGCTGGGCTTCCTTGGTGGTGCAGGGGTTAAAGTCTCAGGGCTATCAAGTTATGACCAGCCTCTGAGGTACAGCATGGTTTCAATCCCTGGCCAGGGAGCTGACCCACATGGCACAGCAGACCTTTCCTGTCTTTCCCGCTGCAGTGTATTTCAGTAGATCTCAGCAGTGTATTTCAGTAGATCTACCTGTTCTGCTCCCCACTCTGTGTCTGGTGAATCCTCTCACCCCTCACAACTCTGGCCTACACCTCAGTTTTTTTGTGCAAAAAAAAAAAATCTTAAAATGCACAAGACTAAAGCAAAAAAGTTCCAACTGTAAGAAATAAGACTGGCAAGATGGTTCGAGCAACAAAGCCCTGTAGAACTCTGCTGACCAACACAACTCAGCCTGCAGCAAAAATCAAGTTAGGAAAGTGGTTTTCCTCCATATTGCTTGAGAGGCCTGAAACAAGTCAGTTCCCGTTAGTGAGACAGGAAGACAAGAATCTGTAAAACAAAGAATGAGGCAGCCTTGCAGCAAGGGTGGCCCAGTCAATCCTTCTCATTCCAGACGCCAGCTGCAGACTGACTCAAGCTGGCTCTGGCTCCGCCTTAAATCCCTTTCAGGGTCCCCCACACTACAAGACTGACTGGACCGTTTTCAACCCCAAGTATCTGTTTGGACTGTTTAGCGCCAATCAACTTGTTTTCCATTTTCAACGCCAATAACTAATGAGCTGAGCTTGAACCTGTTTGGTCCATTTAGAATCCTAGAGCCAGATATAAAAGGGGGGGGGGGTTGGGGAGAGCCCACTCCAGCCTGCACTCAGGTCAGGACTGGCTGGTGGGCCTGTGGGCTCAGGGAGCAGTGGACTGCATGCAGAAAAGTCGACAGAAGTTATCTGGAAACTAATAGTAAAAGAACTGAGCGAGCAGAGCAGGACCTGGTTTCTCTCTGAACTGTTTTCTGAAAGTGGGTCAAGACCCACATTCATACACACGGCTCCCAGGCTGGTTCCCTGCACCTCACCCAGTCAGGGACACCCAATGGGTACCGGGGAGGCCCCACAGCAGCTTGTTCCAGGGCTCCAAGTGCATGTGTTGGAAGGGTTGGCAACTGGTGCCTCTGCAGGCCCGGAGAGCTGCCACGTCGCCCCTGCTCTTGCTGCCTCCCCACCTGACAGCAGGACCCAGGGAAACTCTTACCTGGCCTGGTATGAACATCACCTCTTGTCTGTAGCCAATCCTCTCCTCTTCTCACCCCCTCTTCCCCCAAGGCAGAATAAACCACCCCTCAAGTGAGTTCCAGAACATTCTGGTGCTTCCCAAGTTGTTTTCTCCACTCCCTGTGTGCTCCTTGGGGGATATGGCTATTGATCCCCTCGCCTGGCACCGTGTCTGGCCTGTGGTGGGTGTGAATAAATGTTTGTCATATTGAGGTGAACACTAATGAAGGTGGCAGATGGAGTGCTCCTCGGATGGCTGAGAATAACCAGTGGCTCAGTAAAATTAAAGGGTGCCCTGAGGCCACACTCAGCCTGCTGCCCGTTTTTCCTTCGGCTCCTACACCCTGCCGCCTGCCTCACTAGGTCAGGCGCACCGTGGCGGTGCACCCCGCACAGCCGGACACCCTGGACAGGCCCCTCTGTCCACCCCGACACGATCCTGGAACAAATGGCAGCAGACTTCTCTGGAGGCCAGTCATCGCTTTATTCCATCAGTGACCAATACAAGAGCACCACAGACACACAGGGGCTGCCTGAGCACCCCGGGCAAGGCAAAGAGGGTGGATGTGGCGGGCCCTGGCGGGGGAAGACTTCCCTCCCTGTGTCCCCAGCAAGGGGCGGGGGGCCGTCTGCGCCGACAGCAATGCAATCTGTGTCAGCCCCCTCCTTCCTCAAAGCACCAGGGTCGCATGAGGAAGGAAGGCTCCAGGCGGGGCCGCAGGAGACTTGTTGGGTGGCTGAGGGAGGACTCTGAGTTCGAGGAGACTGTGCGTGAGATGTGTGCGTGTGTGCGTGCGTGTGTGTGTAAGGGACACGCGCCTATACTACTGAGCATGTGGGATTTCACCGCTGAGCCACAGGACCTGCCTGGGGCCAAGGAGACCCGCCGGAGCCTGGGCAGGGAGAGGGGCCCAGGGCGAGACCACCCTCCTCACTGCTCCGCCTGAGAGGAGCCCGGGGCAGGCAGGTCCAGAGCGCCTCTGGCCTGACCCACCTCACGTGTAGGCCGTCTTGCTGCACACCCAGGGCCGGGTCATCAGACACTCCGTTGACACCAGCCTGGTGGGCTCCACGAAGACGCACTCCCCCGGGCCCGCGACGGGGAATCTGTGGCCGGGAGAGAAGAGACCAGGCTCACGCAGCCCATCTCCGGGCGGCTCCTGCCTCGGGCGGCTCCTGCCTCGGAGGCGCCTCCCAGGTCGTCCCGCCCTGGTGGGTTCCAGGCCTCCCACTGGCTCCCTGGTGTGAGCGCAGGGCCCCAGCCACCTGGGGGCGCCCTGGAGCTCCCGGCCCGCTTCCACAAGCGTCCCTGGTCAGCCACTGACCCCAGGAGCCCAGGCCCGTTCCGGACACCCTCCACCCACCCCCTCCCCTGCACCGCGGGTAGCACAGACCATGTGGGAGTCACACAGACTGTGCGCCTGTCCCCACCCGTCCCTGAGGCGGTCAGTTCCTGCTCAGCGGGCACCCCTGAGACACGCCGTCCAGCACAGCACAGCTCAGCAGAGAGGAGCCAAATTAAATCCCCTCACAGGCCGGGGTGAGCCTGGGGACCCCCGAGGCTGTGTGGCCCAGGAACTCACTGAAATCATTCCTGAACCTGTGGTGGGGGTGGGGGTTCTCTCCCAGCCTAAACTCATCTCTCTTGAGTCTCCAGGGTGCTCCCGGCCCTGCTCCGAGACCCCTGCCGAAGCTGGGACCTCACAGGCGGGGACATCAGAACAGGCCCAAGAGGCGGCTGAGAAACCAGCCCCTTGGCTGCCAGGTGATCAGCATTCTGGGGACCCTGGGCTCCAGGGCTCTCTCCAGCGCTGAAGCAGGAAGCTTCCAGAAGGGCGGCAAGGGGCAGGAAGTGTGGGGCTTCCGCAGGAGCTCTAAGACTGACCTGGGATGGCATGGGGTGGGGAAGGGAAGGGAAGAAACAAGTGGCCACGAGGGCAGGAGGAGTGCAAGATGGAGCGCAGGGGAGGCCGGGGCAAAGCAGCAGGGGAGGAGGCCCCAGGGACACCTGCGCCCTATGGTAAGGAGGCTGATCGCCAGCTTCTGGCCACGGTGGAGGTTGGGGGGCGTGGGTGCTGTTCTGCTCTGGCCCCTGCTTGGGGACACTCGTGTGTCATCGTCATCAAGTAGCAGCCACGCCCCCTGGCTCCTCAGGGCCGGTTCTTCCAGCAGTAGGGTGTGGCCTAGAAGGTTCTCGTTCCCTCTGATGCACTCCCCTGCATTTCTCTGAACCTCGACTGCCCACACACACCGGCACCACCCACCACAAACACCCCCGCACCATGACCACTGTCACGTCACCTCACACACCAGCCACTGCCACATGCTTGTGTCCACGACACACACCAGCAGGCCTCCAGGCTTCTGCTCTAAGAGTCCTCCTCGTGCCAGGGCTGGGCTCCCCCATGGTCACTATGTCTAGGGGCACACCCCCGTGACACAGTGCAGGGGGGGATCATGCGGCCACGATCTGGCCCATGCACAGGACCATCCCTGGAACGTCCTTCCTTCCTCTTGGCCCTGAGGCCACACCTCAGCCATGCAGACAGCTGCTGCACCCCGGGAGCCAGGAGCTGGGAAGAGCCTGCGCCCAGGAGCAGAAAGTGCTGAGCCACCAAAGCAGAGGGGTTTTGAGGGAGAGGGAGGAGCCCTTATGCGAGCCATTATCTGTGGCCGCAGAACAGACTAGCTCCAGCGTGGACCCCAGCGGGTCTGTCCTGGAGACTGTCGGGGCAGGGAGGGGGGTGTTAGGCCTTCCCCAGTCTAAGTTCGGCGGCCAGAAGACGAAGCCTCAGCTCACGTGTCGGGGTCAAATGGGTCCCCGTTGACCCAGTGGAATTCATCCCCGACTCTGCGCAGGCCAATCCAGGGCTCCCGCCGGGTGAACTTGAACATAAATTCCTGCACCAAGGAAAGAGGGGAAGCCTCAGAGTCGGACGTGGTCGCTGATTGTTCACCCACCCCAAAGCTGAGCTCGGTCTGGAAGATCCTGGCTCCCAAGAGGGATAGCTGTGGAGAAGGGGGATGCCTCACTGCACCCTGAAAGTGAGAAGCTGGGGTTCAGCGCGCCCTGCACGCATTCTGACCTCTCAGCAACTGCCTGCAGTGACCTCTCAGGGGCTGGCTGTGGAGCAGGTGCTCTGGGCTAGGAAGCTGCGCCAGCTGTGCAGGGTCACGCGCCGGCCAGGAGCCTGCCTGCAACAGCCTGCTTGATCTGGGCTGTTCCGTCCGTCCAGACAGGGGTGATTTCTAGATTATCTGCTATTTTGGACTGCCCCGCCCCTGCCACTGCGCTCCACATCCCAAATGGATTGCGGTCCCTGTCTGGGGCGTCCGTGAGAGCGCCTGTCTGCTGTGGACGAGCAGAAGCCGTTGTCTTCACGTGGCACAAGCGCACTTCCACTTGGCAGCGCCTGCCCTTTGCAGTAGGACCTGAGCTCAGCCCGTCAGCCCTCGATGGAGATCACCTGCGCTGACAGCAGCGGCGCCAGCGCCCCCATGGGCCCGCCCAGGCAGCAGAGGCCGGAAACACGCCCTCGGGGACACTGCCTCCTGGGACGTGGGTCTCCCCTAAGTCTCCTCCCATCCCCCCACCCCCTCCACCCCCCCCACACACACACACTCACCAGCTCCTTCTTGCTCTGAATGACAGCCAGCGCGGCCTCGTGGGTGTGGCAGTACTGCCGGCCCGTGTTCCAGTCCCGGGGCTCCTCGGAGAAAAAGTAGCACTTCCTGCCGAACAGCAGCCAGTCCTCGGGGCAGGGCGCCTCGCACTTGATGCAGCCCTTGGAAGCTGCAGGAAGAGGGGGCTTGGACCACCAGCGTGTCTGGCCACCACCACCCGGGCTGCCCCCAAGGGCCTCTACTCTGCTCCCCAAAGCTCCCGCCATCTGCCTGGACTCTGGCGCCCTCAGCGACAGCTCGGGTAGCTGTCCTCCAGGTGAGCACCTCCCACAGGGCCGGCAGGCTGGGCTGAGGTGTGACCAGTGACCGGAGGAATCAGGGGCTCCACCAGCAGGGCAAGTCACAGTGGGTCAGCCCCCAGCCTCCACCCCACCTCGCTTCTCTCTTCCCCTCTCCTTGCTTTCATTCTGTTTCTCTCTGTGTCCATCTCTATGTCTCTGTATGTCACCCTCTGGGTCACCCTCTCTCCGTCTCTCCCTCCTCCCCCAACTGTCCTTGGTCTCCCCTCATTAGCCAGCAGGGCAGCCTGTTCCACATTTGAACTGTTAGAAAGTTCTTGATCACCGCCTAGTCCCAACCTGCCTTCCAGTGACTCAGACCTACTGGCCCCAGATGGGCCTCCAGAGAGACCTGCCCTCTGCCACCTCCTCGAAGGTGCCTTATCCAGGCTGACACAGACACCAGGCCTTGGGACCCCTTGCGGGAGCCATTCTTTGGCCCCCTATCCATCCTGCCCTGCCCAGCCCCCGGCTCACCCCCCACCGAACCCTGAGCCAGAACATGCCAGCGCCCCGCCACCAGCACCAGCACGCAGTCCAGGGCGGCCATGGGCTTGGCAGGGAGCGGGCTGTTTAGACAGAGGCTCTGTCGGTGTGGACCTCCGGGGGGGACCTTCCGGCACTCTCCGGGCCAGAGGTCACGGCTGCCACCAGATTCTCAAAGGCCTCCTGGCCAGAAGGAACTCAGCTCTGCTCTCCACTGTGTTCACATGACCCGTGTCCAAGCCAGGTGTCCCCAGCCCAGAACATGAGTCGGTCACTTTTTAAATCCAAATGCAGGAGCTGATATTTAGTTCTTCCAGGTGTAGCTCATTCACCTGGGTGCATTTGGGATTGTGTGTGTGTGTGTGTGTGTGTGTGTGTGTTATGTAAAGATCAGTTAATTTATTGCCTATTAAGTTCCGTTTCGTAATTTTTTGCTGTAGTCACTGACAGGCTGGCCAGGATGACTTCCTTTCCTGCTCAGGTCTATCCAACCTCTGGCTTATGCTCTCAGCAAAGGAAGATTCTTAGAAGAAACCAGGAATATAATCATAGATGTGGGTGTTCTGATGCAATCTATCTTTAATATTGCTCCATTGTACATTGAATGGATTTGTGTTTTTTTACGGACTCTTTAAAAAACATGTAGAAACGTGTGCAGTGAAAGGTGCTTACAAAAGGGTTACTACTTGCACCTATTTTAACCGCTTATCTGCAGGGAGGAGAAATAGACACATGGGTCTTACGCTTGAGACTATAACCTGTTCTTATGGTCGGAGTACAAGTTTATGGGTCTTTGTTTTTTTGGCAACTTGTTCATATTTTTGCTTTTGTTTGATTGGCTCATTTGACATTTTAATCTTGATTTTTCTTTGTCCTTTTGTTAAGATTTATTTTTATTTATTTATGTATACAATAACTGGGGTGTAGGCCAGAGGTGCAAGGGGTGAGAGGATTCACCAGAGACAGAGTGGGGAGCAGAACAGGCAGATCCACTGAAACACACTGCTGAGGGGAGCAGCGGGCAAGACAGGAGAGGTCTGTTGCGCCATGTGGGTAGCTTCCTGACCAGGTATCAAATTTAGGCTGCAGTGGTGACAGCACCGAGACTTAACCCTTAGGCCGCCAGGGAGGCCCCTCGTTGTCCTTTTAAGCATTTGTACAAATCCCCTAGCACACTTTTGTTGATTTTCAGGCAACTGGTTGATTTCAGGCAACTGTAGACCATGTCAAGCCAAGAGCAGGTCTATGGCACTGCAGCCCAGACTGATGGACACCACGCTGATACCAATTAATTAATCGACACTCTGGCATATCAGCTCAATGAGCTGAAGGTCCACTTGGGACACTGACCAGCTCACCCCGGTCTCCTGGCACTTCTCCACGATCAAAGACAGAGGCACTGAAATCATTTTGCAAACACTGCTGAACCCAGGAGCACACTATGACTTGAACCCACTGTAGCAGCAGAAATCCCTGGCCATCCAGCCTTGCCTGAAACTTCAGTTTGCTCCCTTTTTATTCCTTCCACTCTTTCAGTCTCACAGGCCAATACATGTTTCTCAGGTCTTGTCCCCTTGGAGTGCAAGTCCCTCTTTCTCCTGGTCTCTAGGAAACTTCTGTCCATTCTTCAAAACTTAGCACGCATGCGCCCCCCCTCTGGGTAACCCCATGGCAATAATACGTCCATCACTGGACAGGAGAAATGATCCATGCCCAGCTTTTTTTTTTTTTTTTAAGCCAGTAGCACTTAGCACAGGGCTCAATAAATGTTTGTTGAATGAATAAGAGTGATCTGTAAGCCCCTTGCCCCAAAATCATCTCTCCCAAGAAGCACTGCCTCCTAACCCACCGCATCTGGAAGCTCTCTCTCTACCTGCGGAACGTGCTTCCGATAAGCTGTGCATAAACCGAATTGTGCAAACGCACGAACCCATGCTCACCCAAGATGCTCATCACCACCAGGATGGCAAACAGGAGGACGGCAATGGCGCCCAGCAGGAGACGCGTGGTGGTATCTGAGGAGAAGAGAAAGGGGTCAATGCCAGCCCCCGCAGTCCCCCCTGCCAGCCCCAAGTCTCATAGTAAGACACTCTGGTGCTGGGTTCAGCAATCTGCTTGACCAAGCCATCCAGGTGACGGTAAGGCATGCTGACCTCCGAGAACCTCGCTTCCAGAACGCACCCGTGATGTGCGATTCCCCAGCTTCCTCACCCTGCCTCCAGGGCCACACAGTTCAACTCCTCTGTCAGAACTTTCCGATCTTTAAGCTTCTGTCGCTTGTCGTCCTAGTTTCAGTCAGATGGACTCCTTGAAATAACCTAGTCCATTTCACAGCCGGTCCACTGGGTGTTTGCCCCCCAAATTTTCCTCCCCTACTACTACCTCCTTAAATCCAACCCACCCCACACCTTTCATCCTCTTCAGGAAACCTATCCTGACCCTCTGGGGTCTCCTCATTTTATTTCAGTCTATTTGTTGCTATCCCTTCCATCTGAAATTTATATTTAGTGAAGGAAGTCTTTTAGACTTTAGGGCCTTTGAAAGGTTTTTTATTGTGAGAATAATATATATATAACACAAAAGCTGCTAATTAACCAGTTCTCGGTGTACAAATAGCACTAGTTACTTCGATGATGTTGTCCAGACCCACTGCAAGAGTGTGTTAGTGTCTCCACCTCCTTGCCAACACGTGTTAGTCTCCTTTATTTATTTATTTTTTTTTACTATAGCTGCCCTAGTAGGTGAGAATTCCCTTTTTAAGTCCTTTTTTAAAACCAAAATGATGAATGACCCTTGATGGATGTGGTGCGCCTGTAGACACGTGCTCATCTACATAGTTACGCTGCATGGTAAGCTACGTTGCATGAATGCCAACGCCCCCCATCAGCCTCAACTCAACCGAGTCTTCGGGAAGGACCACGTGGACACACTGCTCCCAGGGAGGGGAGACGGCGCACACAGTTTAAGGTCACCAGGGCCGAGGGGTGTCTTCATTTTTCAAGGGAATAACTGCCCTGCACGTGGCACTGGGGACAAAGGACATGCTAGGGAGTCCGGCTCATTCACCCCCTCATGGGGGACAAGCATGGGGCTGGACAACGCAAAGCTCTATTGTGTTCATTTCCCGGGGTGGCCATAACAGCACCCCAAGTAGGGTGGCTTAGAACACCGGAAATTTCTTGTCCGGCTCTGGATCCTGGAAGTCTACAATCAAGACACCAGCAAGGCCGGATCCCTCTAAAACCTCCTTGGAGGGCGATCCTTCCCGGCTTTGTCCTGGCTTCTGGGGTGTGCTGGCAATCTTGGGCATTACTCGGCTTGCAGTGGCCTCGTTCCAACCTCTGCCTTCTCTGTCCTCCGGCCTCCCTGAGTCTCCGTCTTCATGTAACCATCGCCTTACGAGGACAACAGTCCTGCAGGGTCGGGAGCTCACCCTTCACCAGGGTGCCCCCCCACCTTTCCTAATTACATCTGCAATGACATATTTCCAAAGAAGGGGGCGTTCCTAGGTTCTCGGGGAGAGGACATATCTCGTAGCGGGGATACAGTTCAAGTCAGAACAGATATCTAACTCGACCATGCTTCTTTCTTTACGTCCCGAATTAGATGGCGATTGAGGGTGTAGCTTATTTATGTTCATAAATGCATATGATTCAGCCTAATGTTAGAAGGAACAACTCAAAATAATCTAGCTCTCATGCTCAGATCCTGGCCCACCCCCACAGCCTAAAGGCGACGCCCAGGGGAGTCTCCCAGTTGTCAGGACCACATCCTGAAGAGCAAACTCTTAACTGCTCGAGACTAGCCTACGCTGTTTGGTACTTTTTCAATTTTTAAGCAGCTTTGCCAAATGCATGTGTGTGGCTTTGATCAGGAAGCTGTGGGTTTGTGCTTAACCAAGGCACTTTCAACATTAAAAATTCAGAATCGGTGAGCACCAAAATATCTGTTGTCTGAGATATGCAGACTCGCTCGGCCCCCTCCCATGCCCCCAGGCCTTCTCACTGCCACCCCCAAAGCCACAAATATCCCCATCTCCAGTCACCTCCAGTTTTCTAGAACCTGGGCCGAAGCTCTGGGTCACCTTTTCCAGCCTCTCCCTGGAGGCTGGGGTGGAAGGAAAGGTTAATATCCACAGGGAGAGAAGACTCAACCAAAGAGAACATTCTATGGCTTTCTATTTATAAAGCAAATTGTTCCTCCGAGGAATGGCTTGAAGCCTTGGGTTCTACTCTTGGCTTTATGACTTCAGACCTCTGTTTTACTCAGCCTGTGAAGAGGGCGAATGTCTGCTGGAGTTACCTGGGCAGGTCATGTGGGAGCATGACGAGAACCACCTGTGCCGAAAGAACAGCCTGGATCTCTCCATTCGCCTCACCAAGTCCGACGTGCCAGGTCAGCTTGGGACAGGAGGGCTTTCACCTCAGAGGGTCCTCGTGGCAAAGCCAGTGAGGGGTCACGCCTGAGCAGCCTGTGCGTCCCACAGGACCCTTCACCTGTCTGAGTCTTGGTTTCCTCATCCACAAAACAGATACAGCATCACCCACTCCCTGGGGGTGGAAGAGACCACTGAGGCCAAAGCACCCAGCACAGGTCCCGGCCCCAAACAAAGGCCCATGGGCCCCTGGGTGTTCATCTCGGTCAGACCAGAGTCTCCCATTTCTTTCAAGACAGGTGCTTGGCTAAACAGGGATAACACCCTGTGGGTCCACCCTGGCAGCCCCCTCACGCCATCACGGGTGTTTCTCAGTGTCTGTGACCACGACTCACAGGGACACAGTTCAAGGCGGCCAGACCAGCAGCTCAAGCGTTTCCACTGGGTTCCCTGCCCGGGCTGCAAGGCTCTAGGGCAGGGGAAGGAGGTCCCTACACACAGACCGCCCCCTGCATCCTTGGCTCTGTAGCCCTAAGAGGCAGAAATCATGACAGAGCTTAGCAGGTGAGGAAACTGAGGCTGACAAGTTTGGAAACCTGCCAGCCCAGGCAGGTGGAAGGTTCTAGCTTGGGTTTGCCGAGCCCCAGACTCTGTGCTCTTTGCCCCCGCTGGGCGGCCTCAGGCCTGTGCTGTGATTCCGAGGGAGCAGGGATGTTTCTAGTCCCGAGAGCTGCACCTGGACGGTGTGGACATTTCAAGAGTGTTTGTGGAAGGAAAGGAAGAGAGAATGAAAGTGGGGGACCCAACCACCGGCCAGCACCACAGTACCCCGAGGTCCCCTCAGGGGACCTGCAGAGAAGAGGCCCCGACAAGGGCCCGAGACTCAGACTCCAGATGCTATAACGCCCGTGGAGAAAGTCTAGAGGCCCAGAGGCTGCGCCCCACGGGCCCTGGGCATCAAGGCAGGGCTGCTCCTGGCGGGGCAAGGGGAGAAGGACGGCCCCGAGGGGCCGGAGACGCAGCCTGCGGGTAGGGAGCCAGGCAGCCCCGGAGACGAGCTGGGCCGGGGGCAGGCGCGAGGCACCGTGCAGGCTGGACTCCACCGGGGCTGGGGCCCCGAGTCCTGAGCGCCTCTGGGGTATGGCTCGTCCTGCCCGGCGCGCAGCTTCTTCAGTCTACCCGGCTGCAGCTGCGAGCAGGCAGCAGAGGGGCTAAGGGTGGAAACCAGCAAGTCGGAGAACTGAAAGGCCCAGCACCCCAGAAGTAAGTGGCCCCAACTACCTGGGTTAGGTTAGGGCAGACCCTGCAGAACTGCTTACAAATGAGTGAAGGAGTGCGTGAGTGAATGAGTGAACACAGGAGTGAGCAACTTTAATGTAACTTGGGCAGGGGGGAAGCATGGGGTCACAGGCCAATGCGCAATGCAACTGGGGCCACACGTCAGGGGGTTCCAAAGACAAGCCCACTCTCTCAAGCAAGGCCAAGGGCCCCTCAACAGCTCCTCCAGAACAAAGCCCATGCCCTCTGGAAAAGCCTGGGTGCCCACGCAGATCTGGGTCTCCAGACTCGGCACCCCTGCCCCATTCAGGGACTCCGGAGCTCAGGAGCCCCCTCGGCGGGGGCAGGCAAGCTCTGGTCGCTTGGGCCCTGCGCAGGTCACTCTCCCCGCCTGGTGCACCCTTCCTTCCCTGTCCGCACCCCCTAAGAGGTCACCGGCTCCGGGAAGCCCTCTGCTCCCACACTGCTTGCCTAGGGTTGGTGATCTCGGCTCTGAGTGTCCCTCCACCCAAGGGTCCTCCAGCTGGGGATGTCAGGGCTGTGGAAGTGCGAAGACCAGCCTCTCTCTCACCAGCCCCGAATGCACCCCTCACACTGCCAAGTTCAATGAGCTTCCTCAAAGAACTCGGGGTGGTCGCCAGGGTCACCTCCGGCGCCTGCCTGACTGGGAGGGGAAGGTGGGCACCATGGCCTTCCTTTCAAGGAAGAGACTCCGCATCTCCCCTCCCTGCCTGTTCCCATCACCGGCACCCCCTCATCCCCCCAATCTCTCCTCGGGTACCGGCACCACCTCTGGAGTCTACAGCCATGTCTCTTTGCCCAGCGCCCGGCTCCCCACGCCCTGGGGCCGGCTGCAGGGGCCGGGCCGTCCCCCTCACGAGGGGGAACCTGAGGCTCCCGCACGACGCCTGCTCCCAAGGTCAGAGTGAGCGAGCCGCGGAGCAGGGTGCAGGCGGCTCCTAGAGGTGGTCCCAGATCCCCCCTCCGCACCCCAGGGCGGCGGCCCCTGGCGCTGAGACGCGCCGGTGTCGAGAGTCGCGCTCCGCGCCTTCCCCTCCGGGACGCCGGCCAAGGTGACCGCGGGGCCGGGCGCGGGGGGCCCTCGGCGCTTACCCTCCAAGGCCGCCTTCCAGCTGGTGCTGCCCTCGTAGCCCGACCCCGATCGCCGCAGCTGCCCCTCCGGCCCGCGGCCCTCGGCCTCCGCGGGCGAGCGCGGCCTGGGCGCGGCGGGGGCGGGCGCGGGGCGCGGGGCGGGGGCGGCGGCCGGCCCCGCGCGGGGGGCTCCCGGGCCGGCTCCATCCCCGGGGCTCCGCCGCGCCGCGCCCGCGCACCTGCGCCCGGGTGCGGGGCCCAGCCCGACGCGCACTCGGCGCCGCGCGCGCCCCGCGGCCCCCCAGGCCGGCCTCGGCGGCGAGGGCCCCGGCTGGCGCCGGCGGGGCTGAGCCCGGTCCCCGCGCCCGACCCGCCGCGCCCGATCCGGCCGTGCGCGCCGCGCCCGCCCCGACCCGCCGCAGCCTCCGCGCAGAGCCGCGCGCGGGCACTGGCGGGAGGCGGCGCCGGAGCCGGAGCCGGAGCCCGAGCGGGGCGGGCGGAGAGGGGGAGGCGCCGCGGGGCAGGGACAGCCCGCGCCCCGCGCCCCCGCCCGCGCCCGCGCCCTCGGCGGGAGGCCAGAGGCTGCGCGGCCGGGGCCGGGAGACGCGGCTTCTCCCCGGGGCCCCCGCCGGCCGGGCCTCTGGTAACGCGGAATGAACTTTCCGGCACGGCCGGGAGAGGCCCGAGGAGGGTGAGGGGCTTCCCCGGCGCCGCCGGGCTCGGTGCCCAGGGACGCGGAGCGCGGCCCGAGCAGAGGCCGGAGCAGGCGGGCGCGCGGCCTTTCACACTCGGGTAGCGCCGCGCGCAGCGCCGGCACCTCTGCCCTGGGAGCCGGCACCCCCGTCTGGGTGAGCGTGGGCACGAGAGGGGTCAAGGGCGAGTCTGAAGGCAGCGCCGGGCGAGTGTGCGGCGGCTGCTTTTCCCAGCCCGGGCCAGGGCCCCCGGGCGCAGCGCTCGCTGGCCTGCGCGCTCCAGGGCGACCCCCTGCCCCTCAGGTGCGCACTGCAGCCCCGAAGTCTTTGCTCGCCAACCTCAAAGCCCAGGCTTTTTGGCGTTTTCCTAGTCTGCCTGTCTTCATCCTCAACCCCTGCCCCTCCAAATGCAGCCAAGGGCTGTGAAGTCTCCCTTGTGAAGCCTCCCTGCGCGGTCCTCTCCAGGCCCACGGCTGCTGGCCAAGCACAAGTCAAGTCCATCTCTTGCTGACCCCAGCAGCAGCTGCCTGAGGACTCACCCTCTGGCCCTCCGAGGCAGCCTTCTACCCAGCACCAAAGGGGCCTTCCCCCAGCCTCAGGCCCTCTACCTATGGATCAAGTCCCATTTTTTACAGTCTACGAGGCCCTTCATGGCCTAAACACTGCTCTCATTTCAGGCTTCAGCTCCTTCTCCCCCTTCTCTGCTGGCCCCTTAATAGGCTTATTCTGGCCTTGTGACATCACAATCCCGCCACCCCTCTGTCCCCCCTACTCACACACACCCAGAAGTCAATGAAATCTCCTAAGATTAATGCGCGGTGCCAGGGAGGGCTTCGTTCTTGGCAGAAAGAGGGTGAGAACAGATCATTTATAATGACCCAGAGAAATAAGTAATTCACTTTACTGTCTCTAAGTTAATAACGTAGGGGGAGATGTCACCCCAAGACAAGGAGAAGGAAAATTAGGTGCTGGTAATAAAATATATATTATTACAGGCTGGCCTCTGACATAGTCTTCCTCAGGGTCAGTTCTCAGCTGCCAACACTCACACTCGTTGCCAAGTCCCGCGAGACCCCCAGACACTCACTACCCCATGGGGGCCACTTGCCTTCCAGGCCTTCCTCCCCGGCTTCAGGAAGTGACTGCGCCTTGGTGGCAGGTGGGTGGGGAATATCCTTGCAGGGAAGAAGAATCCTTGCCTCTTCTAGGTGAAAGCCTCTCTGTTCAATTTATGTTTCTCTCTGGACCACAGTGCACCTTCCCGGGATAAGTGCTGCAGATAAGGCGACTCCTCGTCCTGCCATTTGCAACAACATGGATGGAGTGGAGGGGGTGATGCTAAGAAAGTCAGTCCGACGGGCAAAGGCAAATACTGGGTGACGTGACTTCACTCATATGTGGAACATAGAGGCAAAAAAGCACAACTAAACCCTAGAAGTCTGAGTAAAGAGTTGAGGCTACCAGAGAGGGAAGATGGGGTTTGGGGGGGGCAGAGAGGTTCAGTGGACTAAGGTAGAGGACTGTGGGTGCCTTGGTGGTGGGTGTGGTTGGTACATATATCTGAAGGGCTACGAACTTGTGCCTCTGAATCACATGCAGTGTCCTACAGGAACCTATGTAGCCGCAATAAAAAATAATACAATTAGGGCCTCCCCGGTGGCGCAGCGGTTGAGTGCTGGGTTGCGAAGCTGCCCGCAGCTTCTGCAGCCCGGGTTCGATCCCCGGATGCTCCCCGGCCACAGGAGGAGGGTCCCACATGGTGCGCAGACCTCTCCTGCCGCCCGCTGCTCCCCTCAGCAGTGTACTTCGGTCCTTCTGCCTGCTCTGCTCCCCGCTCTGGCCCTGGTGAATTCTCTCACCCTCCCGCGCTTCTGACTGTGCCCAGTGCTTGTATAAATAAATAAATACATCTTTAAAAAAAAATAATACAATTAAAAGCATAAAAGAGCCATCCCTCTGTCTGCCTTTTTCTCCTCAGGTTCCTGTTGATGTGACTTGCCCTCCGCTGGTTCCTACCAGACCCCTTCAGGCCAGGTGATGACCTAGAACTTTTGCATCCTCAGCCTAACCCCAACGCAGTCCGTATTCATGACCCCAAGTCGCACCCACAAATAGATTGCTCAGAGCAGCAATAGTGGCGATGGTCAGGGAAGTTCTGATGCCAGATCCAACCTGGGACGCTTCGCCAACGACACTGTGGCCCAGAGGCCAACACGGGCTCGATCCGTTCCAGGACTCAGGCATCCGATGAGGATCATGGTGAGTAAATGTTCGAAAAAGCAAGTAATTTTGCGTAACCAGCAGTTTCCCTAAGTTGCCCTCAAAGATTGTTCTCGGGAGGGAAGAGAGTCCATGGAGTTAAAGGAGGTGAGGGTGCAAATGAAGGTGGGTGGGGTGGCAGGTTGGAAACCCCATGTGGACTTCCCAGCACCTCACCTGGGCCTGTGGATTCAGCCAGCACCAGCCCCTGTAAGCAGAAGCCAGTTTCCCCCGGGCACAATTCCTTTAGGATTTCGGGGCCTCCAGCTATTTGCTTCCATTGCAATGGAAAGTTGCAAGCCATGACCCCTGCCCCCACTCCCCACTCTTGATGTTTGACTTCCAGGTGAAAGGGAGGCTGTGCCACTTCTTAGAGAGATCTTGCCAAGGGGAAGTCTTTGATTCTAGAATTTGTCCTGAACATTTCTGTCTCCTGGAACAGGGTTAAGTGCTGAGATCAGCCCTAAAGGGCCCCATCTTGGCTCCTGTCTAAGGTAACAAGGGATTGAAGGACAGGCCTCCCCCAAAGCATGTCACTTTGGCACATGGATTATTTCAAGCTAAGGTCGATCAAGTTTCTGCAGGTTCATGAGAAACTTTTAGCACTCCCTTAACTACCTAGAAGAACAAAATTGGGGCTATCCCCCAGAACTAGGGTTTTAATCAGAAATAAACTTTCCATCAAAGTCTAGCCATATGGTGGGGCAAATATCTAATGACAGAGCATGAGCATGTGAGTCCCCGCTCCTCTCCCTGAAGTCCAGACCCTCACCCCATTCTTTAGCTCAGGATATATACCCCCATTTTTCCTCACTAACCTTAGAATTCACATTTATGTGGATTCCCTGCATGCACAAAATTTTTTTCCCTCCTACTAGTCTGACTGATGTTAATTTGGTTATTTGACCAGTCTGAGCAGAGCCCAGCAGGCTAGGGGGAAATTTCCTCTCCTCCCCCAAAGCATCCAGGTAGCCTTGGGCCAGAGGACAACAGGTGAGCAGCATCACCTGCACATGGTGAAGAGATGCTTAGAAGCAGGACGGGAGCCAAGTGGTGCCAAGGTCAGAAGCAAGGTCAGGTCTGTCACAGCCCTGGCTGTCACTTACTTCCCCAGGGTGTATTTATTCAACTTCCCTGTGCCTTTATTGTCCTCATGGAGACATCAGCACCTCCTCCAGAGGGTGGTCAGGAGTAAATGCGTTTGTATTTATAGAACACAAGCGATACCTGTCAATGAGCATCATTCTAAGTTCCAACCTGCTCTTGCTGTTTCCGGCCTCTTGGCTTTTGCTCAAATAACTTCAGCTTGTTGCAGATAATTCAGCATTTCCAGTGGCGTTTGACCAGACTCTCGGTCTTGGCAGATTGCAGGCCATGGGCAGAAAGGACATGCAATAACAAGGCTAGGTGGTTTTCTTGCACCTCTGTGTGTGTCTGTTACATTGTGGGAACAAACACACAACATAATATTTACCATCTTGACCATTTTTTTAAGAACTTTTTTTCAAGATTTACTTATTTATGCATACAAGAACTGGGGTATAGGCCAGAGGTGTGGGAGGATTCACCAGAGACAGAGTGGGGAACAGAACAGGCAGACTGACTGAAATACACTGCTGAGGGGAGCAGCGGGCGAGACAGGAGAGGTCTGCTGCGCCATGTGGGTAGCTCCCTGGCTGGACGGGGATCAAACTCATGCTGCAGAGGCTGAGGATAGCTTCACAGTGCTGTGCTTAACCCCTTGCACCACCAGGGAGGCCCCATCTTCTTGACCATTTTTAAACAGAAAGTTCAGCAGGATTCCGTTCACTCACCTTGTTGTACAGCTGTTGCTATCCTCCATCTCCCAAGCTCCTTGCATCTTGCAAAACTGAGACTCTCTACTCACTCATGAGCAACTCCCCATTCCACTTCCCTGGCCCCTCGCCACCACCATTCTACCTCCTCTCCCTGGGAGTCTGATTACTCTGGGGACCTTACAGACCTCAGCCATCCAGGGCTTGTCCTTTTGTGACTGGCCAATTTCACTTAGGATCATGTCCTCAAGGTTCAGCCACATTGGAGCCTTTGTCAGGATTTCCTCTAGATCTGTTTCTTTTCTTTTTTTTTTTTTAAGATTTATTTATTTATGCATAAAGAACTGGGGTGTAAGCCAGAGGTGTGGGGGGTGGGTGATAAGATTCTCCAGAGACAGAGTGGGGAACAGAATAGGCAGATTGACTGAAATCCACTGCTGAGGGGAGCAGCGGGAGTCAGGAGAGGTCTGCTGCGCCATGTGGGTAGCTCCCTGGCTGGGGATCAAACTCGTACTACAGTGGCTGGGATAGCTTCATAGTGCTGAGACTTTACCCCTTGCTCCACCAGGGAGGCCCCCAAGATAAATTTAGTTCAAAAGAAAGTAAGGGGTAGGGCCTCCCTGGTGGCACAGCGGTTGAGCGCTGGGTTGCGAAGCTGCCCGCAGCCTCTGCAGCGCCGGTTCGATCCCCGGCTGCTCCCCGGCCACTGGAGGAGGGTCCCACATGGCGCGCAGACCTCTCCTGCCGCCCGCTGCTCCCCTCAGCAGTGTACTTCGGTCCTTCTGCCTGCTCTGTTCCCTGCTCTGGCTCTGGTGAATTCTCTCACCCTCCTGCGCTTCTGACTGTACCCAATGCTTGTATAAATAAATAAATAAATCTTTAAAAAAAAAAAAAAAGAAAGTAAGGGGTAAAAGAGCATGTGTGCCCATTTGAGCCTACTAAAGGATATGTCTGTGCACACCTGTGTGTGTGTGCATGTGTGTGTGAGTGTGAGTGTGTATGAGCATGCATGGTTGTATGACATGAAGATTTTTGGGAGAATACACAAACATTGCCTGGGTGTTTACCACTGTACAGAGGAGATGTGGGGCAGAAGGAAGACTTGCTTTTTTGTTTTCTATCCTTCTGAATGTTTAATTGAGTTTAATTTTTGTTAAACATGAAGCACCAGGCCCCACCTTGGAATGCCATCCAGAGTGTGTGTAAGATGTTTACCGCAGAGACTGGGGAGACAGCTGCAGGCGTGGGGCCCGTCACCTGCCTCAGGAGCAATTGACCTGGAGTAGCCAGACTCTCCCTGGCCAGGAGCTGGGCAAGGCAAAGCCTCCTGCCATAGTTTCTCGGTCAGTGACAGAGACTGGGGAAAATTTCTGGGGAAAACCGGATTTGAGGAGTCAGAGGTCAAGACTGGGGATTTTCCTTCTTTACCTGCAACAGGCAGGGCTAGCCTCTTGGTGGGCCTGGATTCAGGGTCCAAAGGGTTTCTGGAGAGGTCTTGAGGCAGCTGTCCCTCAGGCGCCCTGGCCCCAAAGGTGCCCTGGAAATGCTTGCTTTAGCCATTCTCACCACCCACCAGTATTTATCCAAGATGACTAGTTGCCGTGCAGGAACATTCCGCCAGTGGCCAAGGCGAGCCAGCTCGACTGCAGCACCCTGTCTGTGTCCAGGGGCAGTGTCTACTCCCAGCTTTTCTCCAGGTGCTGCTCGCTGGCCCTCCCCACCATACAAAACCAGGAGCCCAGGGGACTACCCAGGACTCGTCACCAGGAACTGGGAACCATCTTCAGAGATACCCCATGTTCCCAAGATACATGAAAATCAAGCCAACAGGATTCAAAGATTCTTTTCTTCAATCAACAATGATTAGGCATCAGCTGGGTCTGTGTCAGGGCTGGGATACAGGGCCCAAGGGCACATTCGGTCCCAGGACTCAGAGGTCTGCAGGAGGACAACCAAAGGGTAGAAGCTCAGCCTCCTGATGGCCTCTTTCTCTTGCAAAGTTCCTGAGTGAGAGACCGCGCAGCCCAGCAGCTCACGCAGCACAAAGGTGGTGCCTGTTCCAGCCGGCGTGAGAGGGCAGCGATTCTTTAGCATTTTCCAGTGGAACCATAGTCTGCATCAAGAAAAGCTGGTCCTGGCCGAAGGGTGGACTTGAGACAAGAATGTCTTCAATAATAATCCTGCTGAAAGCGCTGCCTCATGCATTAGTGCTCTCCCTGGAGGGAAACTGGAGCCTGTAAGTGACAGAAAACTCCACTCACATCAGCTAAGGAAAAACACCAGATCTGATTTTAGATTTTTTCTCCTAATATTAAACAAAAATAAACACCGATTTTCTTATTTCAGTGTTAGTACATTGACTGTCTATATGCAAACAACTTTTACAAAATAACATTTTTTTAGCATTTGGCAGGCTGTCTTGCTTTGAAATACTTTTTAGTATATGAAAAATTTTTTTTTTTTGCAAAAGTGGAGTTAATACATTCTGCAGCTTGCTTCTTATGTCACTCCCTACAGCTCCATCACATTCCATTTTCTCTTCTGTAGAATTCCATACCATGGAAATACCATCATTGTTACCTTTTACCTTCTCATTGATGATCATTTAAACTATTTCTGTTTTTTGCTAGTACAAACAACACTGCAACAAACATTCTAACACACCTGCTGGTGTGTCCTTGTGGAATCGTTTCTGTGAAAGAATTTTCTAGAAGTAGAATTACTGGATCAAAGATTCCATGAACTGGTTCAACTTGATTTTTAAGTGAAGAACACTTTATGATTTTTAGGTGAAGAACACTTTATGAGTGCACAGTCTGCAGACCAGAGGAGCGTAAAATAATACACGAGATTAATTATTCATCGTGAGCTGTGAAGTGTGCCCAGGGATATGCTTTTTGCTGTGGGGCTCAAACCTGGTCAGAACGGACTGATCTGCTTCCTCATTAAGACAGGAAATGCACAGAGCAGGAGCCCAGGTCGGGGTCACCCTGATCCTCCTGATGTGCCGGGCAAAAGGGTTTCAACAGCAGCTTCGGGAACTGGATGCACCAGTTAATAAACCGTAGAATGATCCTTTCTCGTAGCCTGAGAAACCCACAGTGGGTAATGTTCCAGAGAGCGAGAACAGCGCCCCCAAGCGGCGCTTGGATGCAGCACTTGTCTTCGGACAACCAGGGTGGATCTTTTTATCTGCTTGGACACTTGGTAATGATTTACTCTGGAAACCTCTTCTTCTTTTTTTTTTTTTTTAGATTTATTTATTTATGCACACAAGAACTGGGGTACAGACCTGAGGTGCGGGGGGTGAGAGGACTCACCAGAGACAGAGCAGGGAGCAGAGCAGGCAGACTGACTGAAAGACACTGCTGAGGGGAGCAGTGGGCGAGACAGGAGAGGTCTGCTGCGCCATGTGGGTAGCTCCCTGGCTGGGATCAAACTCGTGCTGCAGAGGCTGCAGCTAGCTCCACAGTGCTGTGCTTAACCCCTTGCACCACCAGGGAGGCCCCAAAACCGTAAGTCTTAGTGAGTCTAAGAGTCTTAGTGGTCCCGTGTGGGGAGTGGCAGAAAGCCCATGATGTGTAGCTGCGCAGTTTTCCAGACAAGGGCAGGGAGCTATGCGCATCTCATCCAACCAATGGGCCCTCCAGCCAGCCAGCACCCGATTCTCAGTGCCTACCTCGGGTGGTCCCATAATTACCGATCGTTCAGCCATGCGTCCCAAGTAATTGGAACAGGCACTTTGTTTGAAGGGGAGTCAGGTGGTAAGAAATAAAACCTTAGTAGACGAGGGGGGTGGTGAATACATAGTACAGACACTGGAACAGCTCTGGGCTGAGATTTAAAGAACACGCAGAAGTCAGATAAACAGTCTCAGATTTCAGGTTTTCTCTGCTTCCACAGCACTGACACTTGGGTCTGAATGACACTTCGTTGCGGGGGGCTGTCCTGTGACTCCCAGCATGTTCAGGCATGTTCCAGGTGTCCCCGTGCTGGAGGACAATAACAAAGCCCCCAGATGTGACAATCCTTATTTTCTCCAGAGCCACTGCCACATTCGAACATTGGTAATTCAAGGTCTTGGGAGGCCTCTGTCCCAAAACCAAGCAGCTGCCGTGGGCCCCAGGGGACAATGGTTATTATTAGGAGTCTTCCCTCATCCAGACCAGCAGCCCGGATTTGGCTACTGTGGGGGCAGGATGAGAAGCCCACCAAGGCAAGCAGGGATAGGAGAGGCCTCCAGGGACTGGAAACTGCTCAAACAA